AAAGTTGAACTATGGGGTTAGAGGTACTCGCTTCATTCTGTTGTCTGCCTAGACTGACATATCTAAAAATCCTTCATATCAAATTTGAGACCTCATTACATCTCTCACTTGATAAACTGTAAATTTCTTGAGCCAAGGGAACTGATTTTTCTTACTCTCCACTGTATTTCATGCACATGGGGTAATGTGAAATTTGAAACAAAGAGCACAAGGAAGTCCTCACTGAGACAGTAACTTTGTGTAAACTTAAGCCTTGTGACTGTGGTGGGTGGAAGGAGTTAAGCTTTCTTCAGTGACTGAACACCTGCTGTGTTTGGGAAAGTCTCACACAATGTGAGCCATAGGAAAGAAGTTAGGAGGCATAAGGTGCTAATGGGGGCCAGCATTTGCAAATTTGTATTTAAGGTAAGGAGTCTTAGGTTGCAGTGGTTTTTTTTGTTTGTTTGTTTTTGTTTTGTTGTTCTTGTTTTCTGAGACAGGGTTTCTCTGTGTAGTTTTAGTGCCTGTCCTGGAACTCCTTCTGTAGAACAGGCTGGCCTTGAACTCACACAGATCCACCTGTCTCTGCCTCCCAAGTGTTAGGATTAAAGGCGTGTGCCACCACCGCCTGGCGCGTGGGTTGCATTTTAAAAGACGTTCAAAACTGCTTTTTGAAAATAAAGCTGAGCAGGAATGTTATCTAATTTACGGTATTGAAGTATCTCTTTGGCAGCCACTCTGAGAGTAGAACCGGGAGGGACAAGGAGAGGGGAGACTAGCTAAGTGGTATTAGCAAAATCTCAGTGAGCAGACCCCAGGGGCTTGAAGCAAGAGGATAACAATGAAGGTGCTGAGATCAGGTCTCTCTTGTCCACAATGTATTAACAGGACTAACGTGCAGGATCAGTAAAAACAAGCAAAGCAAAGAGGGGTGTGTGGTACAGGATGGAACACCGGGCAAAGCACTCCAAAGGGAGTGGTACTATTAGGAGGTGTGGCCTTGTTGGAGGAAGGAACTGTGTCACTATGGGGGCAAGCTTTGAGGTCTCTTTTGCCCAAGCTACCCACAGTGTGACTGTCATTTGACTTCCTGTTGCCTACAAGATGTAGCACTCTCAGCTCCAGCACCACATCTGCCTGCACATCGCCATGCTCCCTGTCAAGATGATAATGTACTGAACCTCTGAAACTTTAATTGGTCCACCCCAATTAAATGTTTTCCTTTATTAAAAAAAAAAAAGAAAAGTAAACTCCAAATGCCTTGAAATATGTGTTATTTTTGAGAAAATATAAGTGATTCCTTTTTCCCAAAGGAATCTTCTCTATAAAAATAAAAGAACTATGCTTGGGCAGGCAAGGAGAGAGAGGGAGAGAGAGAGAGAGAGAGAGAGAGAGAGAGAGAGAATACATGCCAAGATTCAATGTCAACAGGTATCAAGATTATCCTGGCAATTCTTTCTTTCTTTCCAAAGTTGTCAAATGAATTATTTAATATAATGTTCCTTTCTTTATATAGGTCTACTGTAGAGTTTAAAGGAGGTAAGTAACTAGTATATACAAATATATCTGTTCTAACTGATTTCTGTATCTCTCATTGTGCATGAATAAATTATTGTTCTATTTCAAACAGTAGTTTAATTCAAATTTGTTAATATATTTTCTTTTCGGAGATGAAAATTTTAGTGATGACTAGGCCCAGTATTTTTAGTTTTTCTTTAATCATGAAAGTGCCAAACTCATGTTCCGGGATCAAAATGGAGCTGACTGTGGTAATCACTGGAGACTGCAATACAAGATACACGTGAGGCATTCTGTGTGAGTGATTGTTAAAGGAAAGTATCGATTTCCATTTATTTTGTCTCTTGTTGACACACAATAGTGGTCACAGTCATGATCCTTTTAAAATGGATTGGAGAAGGGCTATTAGGAAATGAACTGAGCCAAAAAAAAAAAAAATGATATTTTGTTGTTGCCTAAATTTGATCCATTTTTCAGAGTTTAATGTCTTGGCTGGCTGAAATGTAGGATCCAAGAGCCTGACTAACGCATTCCAGAATTAAATCTATCATTTGTCAATGTGGCCAATCTTGCTGAACTCAATCAGTTTGAAATGCTTTGACAAAACAGGCCTCATAGTCCCTGGAAGACCAGAATCTTAACTGTGTTGAAAGAGCAAAAGTAATTCCATTTTCATGTTGCCTGTGGGATATAGATGTGGTCTTCTTGAAGGATACCTGTACCATTTTTTCTAAATTATAACCACCCCCCCCCCAAAAAAAAACCTATGCAGCAGGAAATTATTTGCCTCTTTGGTATAAGGTATACAAACCCTCTGACACAGTTTTCAGTTTCTAAAATGTGTTGAACATTAATAGCTGTTCCACTCTGACTGATGTCATAGAGGTAAAAATTCACAAGTATATAAATTCTTGTTGCTAATTCATCTATTAGAATATATAACTGAGATAATAAGCTTTCTGTGTGTTTTTATGTGCTAAGTCTGGCTGAAACACAAATTTTCCTCACACTTACCATGGTGATAGAGTTTCTTTACTAAAACTACCGAACTATGTGCCACTGTGTAGATGTCTAACAGGGTCCACATCTGTAACTCTATGGTATTGGGAATCATAGGTGCAAAATGCAAGGCATTCCATTGCCATTACTTTTTAGAAAGGTAGTAGTAATTAAATTGTTTGTAGACTCATTCTACAGGTATACTCTGAAACCCTGTAAAGAGAACCCTAGTTGAGGTCTGATACTTTTAACAGGTAAAGTAGACCACACTGACTGGGTCTCACTCAATGATGCACTCCCATATTGTCACATTCCAGCAGAACTCTGGTAATTTTAAGAATTCTGAGTTCAGATTTTGTGTCCCCCTTGTCATTACAGCTAAGTTTTTGTAAATCAGTATGTTTCATGTTTCCCAACTTAGTGTATTGCTTGTAAATATTGAGACACGTAAGCTGTGCCATATGTGTGTTCAGACTCCAGCCCCAGCCTATAAATGTTAAGCTTACTGAACTTAGCCACAGGCCTACTGAAGTCCTCATCTCCAGTTGCTGGTCGGCCATGTTGTATACATGGTGCAATAATCCTAGATTTTTCATACCATTTTCAAACATCGTATTAACTTCTTTGTCATTGAAGTTATATGAAGTTATATATAATGCCATATCTAATTAGGATAGTCTTTACAACTTACCTTAAATTTCTTAATAGGAATCTTATAACTGACCACCTCGAATCTAGTAATTTTTTCTGACTTTATATATTCAGTTTTACCATAGAACATGCAAAAAACTTCATTCAAATCTCTTCCTTACTATCATGTAACTATTTGCTTCTGCTTCCTCTATGAAAAACTATATTCTTGAGGGCAGAATTTATCTTATCCTTTAATATATTACATATCAACAAAACTGTCCTCGATTGAACAGTTAAACTGGTTAAAATATGAATTCTTTCAAATTGCATTCAACTTATAAAGTAATTTGCCCTAAATGTATCATCCATCGATTCTTAAAGTTGCATAGTAAGCAATATTATTTATATAATAGGAAAATTTATGAAGGAACATTCAGTTACTGCCATGGCCAATTTAGGTTTTAAGTACTTATGCTTTTAAAAATTCAATGTCTACAAAAAATTAGACTGAGGTATTATAATGTGATATGCTATGAAAACAAACGATTAAATGTTGTCATAAGGCACACTATGCTAACTATATAAAATTATATACTATGTGGCTGGAGAAATGGCTCAGGGGTTAAGTGAATTTACAGCTCTTCCACATAACCAAGATTCAATCCCAAGCACCTACATCCCAAATAAGAAGCATCTGTAACTCCAGTTCTAAAGGATCTTAAGGCTTCTTCTGGCGTCTGTGGGTACTATACACATGGTACACAGACATGCATATAAGCAAAAAACATATTACATAAAATAAAAGTAAACAAAACTCCAAAGCATTAAGAGAAAATATTTTATACTATATAATGTGATTTATATGAGATTAACAACTTTTATATTGAGTAACTTACAGGTTTTATTATATTTAAAACATAAAATATTTGAAGAAAAGTATAGGTTATAAACTAAATATTCATTTAGTTTATGACTATAACTATATATTCTTTTCACTGAATATTTTATCAGAAAATTTCCCTATTTTTGTATTTTTTGGTCACATAAAAGCTATGTTTCCTCTCCCTGTAATTATTGACTATAATCCACAAGTAGACTCAATATTGGCCCTTGCCAACTTGTTTGAGAGAAGCAAGGCACCAGGATTCCTTGTCATTCCCAAAGTATCTTGCTTAAGAAAAGCAGAGATCTCCAACCTCTCCAACCAATTTGTTAATCTAGGACTTCTGGATACAGACTATGTTCTAGTCCAATCATTGACAGTTCTCCTATGTTAGACGACACCCTAAAGCCCACTCAGCCTTCTCGTCCATTGAAAACCCAAGCTCTCTTCCTCAATCATCTATATGTATGAAATCTGTCATTCCAGAAAGAAGCAGATGCAGCCAACTTAACTCGTTTTCAACTGTGAAAACTGTCATCCACCAGAACTCTTCCTTAGATATTCCATTCCACTGTATTACAATACGCCAAACCCTCTGTTCCACGAGGGTCTTTGTATCACACTGATCTGTTATTTTTCCAGGAATTGGTTTGACAGTATTTAATCTATATATAGTTCTTTAGTCGTCAATGTATCTAATCCCAGCTTCCATTAATGCAGTCCCACTTACCCTGCTCATGAGGTTACAGTATAGCATTTATTTGTCTAGTTTAAAGCAAAGACGGCACACAGAGATTTATTGAACAAACTTCAATTTTATGTTTTATGTTGACAGTGGAAAAAGAAAGAAGCGGTGATTTGAATCATTTAAACGGATACGGCATGAATGCCAGAGTTCTTGGCTAGAATTACTAGGAAAAAAGAATGGGGGATATTTAGAATTAGCAGCCTGATTGCATGCTAGAACATGTTTTATGGCATATCTTACCTTAACTTCCACATGTGCCATCAATACTGCAAAATTTGTGAGGTGGTTACAGGAGCAAGTAGTATGTGTCTTGTTTGTTGTCAGGAGTCGACAGCCTTGTGTTGACCAATAACCTGTCATTGTGCGTTTGGAATAGCTCCAAAATGAACAGTTAGGGTTGAAATTTTCCTCTGACTGCTATGGTGAGAAAAGATCAATAAAGGCAATAACTATTTTACGACCGAGCAAATGAAGTAGGCATTTTCTTTACCCACAACACAGCATCATGATATGTTGTAATCCTTACAGAGGTGTGTTCAGTATATTCATATTAAGTGGCCCTCATCAATCTGAAGTGAAATTGAATGCCTGGCATTTGTTCTGTCTGATTAGACGTGAGATTACTATTTTTCAAAACTGTTGATACCAGAACGATGTTACTAGCAATGTTTTACAATTGGATTGGTTGTTAAATTTCAAAGCAAAGAAGCCAACCACTGGAAAAGCCTTCTAAAAGGGTGGTCTTTACAAATCTTTATAACGTTTACAATTTCCAGATTTGTACATATACAAAAGTATATCTTCAGACACAGACATGACTGCTTATAATAGCATGTGAAATGTTGCTGTCCAGATTAATTTAGTGCATTGCATGCTCTTTTAAGAACTGTGTGGCACGTATATAGAATATCTAATATTGTATTATGTATATTACATCTAGATGTAATAACGTTACTATGTAGAAAAATTAACATATCATTTAATATAAAGACCAGTTTTACTTACTTTTCTGACATTTTTATGAATATTTCTGAAAACAATCATGACTACATTCTTTAATGATATACTATATATCAGATAATAAAAATATTGAAATAAAATTAATACATTTGATATGCATTCTATAACAAATACTGTAGAAAATGTAACATGATATGTCATTTTCTTACCTTGATATGTTTAACAGTAAATACCACGGGATCAGCCAAATAAACTTTATTACTGAACTCCTTATTTATTGCTGCTGTAATAACAGGAGAATTGACGATAACAGAATGATTTGTGGACATGGCTTCTGTGCCCAGCTTCATACTGGCATTCTCCGTAGACAAATAAGGACCCAGGTTGTTGTACAGGACAAAGGCTACTCTAATCTCTCCTAAAATAAATGCAAATGTGAATTAGAAGATTGAAGAAAATGATTTGTTTGGACACTTTACTAGAGTCTGTCATTCTGATTAGGTGGTAGCCAAAACTGTATAATTAGCATTCACAGACATAAAGTCAAGCATGTATTTGCTTCATTGGTATGGGCATACCAAGTTACTGATGAGAAAGTGGAAGCTGAATTCTGCTGAGAACATTAGATATCACTTCTTTAAACACTGAATCACAAACACTGTCTCACTGTACACTAGAAGCTGAATTCAAGTTTCTCATAGACCCAGCACCAGAATCCAGAATTATAAACATTCTAGAACAAAATACAAGATAGTCTCTTTATACTTTGAAGAAAATAAAATAATGCACATAGCCTCAAAACACAATCCACAAAAGGGAAAACTGAACTTCATCAAAATTAAAATTATGAACCTATTAAAATGTATCTTAAGAAGACAAATGCAAGCTAGAGACTAGGGAACAATAAGATGCATATATAGAACATGCATGCCAGTCAACAGTATGATGACAGAAGATATCTTAAACTCCCCAAAGATATTAATGGACTTTTTATGGAAGAATGTAACAAAACCATTTTATATATGAAAAGATGGCTGGAAACATTAGCAATTACGGAAACAGAAAGCTAAAGCTACATTTGTAATACCATTTTACACCCTGTGTGGACCCTAATGTTTATACAGCCTTAGACTCTTTCCCCTGCTGATGGGAATATAAAATATTTCAGTGACTTGGAAAGATTTTTGACATTTTTTTATAAAACTGCATACATATTGACCCTTCCTGGATAAGTGAGAACATTTTACCACAAAGAAAACAATTTGCATGAGGCTTTTTACAGAATTCATATTGATCCAAGCCTGTATCTTGGTAGAAGAATAAATATTATATTAATAGAATACACTATGTGTCAATACAGCATAAAATATTAGTGAATGGCAAACCATGACTGAATTGTCAAAGTGATTTTGGGGATTACTAATCTAAACAGAAGATAGCTCATATTGAGTGATTCTGGATATATGAAGGCTAAGAACAGAGTGATAGTAAGAACGTTTCATTAAGAGAGGAAAAGACAAGCAAGGAACAGGAAGAAACACCATGGATGTATAAATGTATAAATAGGAAACATTTATTTTCCAGTTGGTTTTCTTTCTGTTTTATGTTTTAGAGGTAAATATAACTGTCATATTTCTTAAACTAAACACTCATAGTGTATATAATTTATTGTGTTTTAATTATATTGCAATGGGATTCTTTTTGTTTTGTTTTTCCAGACAGGGTTTCTCTGTGTAGCTTTGGCTGTCCTGGATCTCACTCTGTAGACCAGGCTGGCCTTGAACTCACAGAGATCCACCTGCCTCTGCCTCCCGAATGCTGGGATTAAAGGCGTGTGCCACCAACGCCCAACTGGATTGTTTTTAAATAAGGACTTTGTCTCCTCAGTACTGGGATTAAAGGTGTGTGCCGCCATTACCCAGCTTGTGATAGGATATATTTTGTTGGTTTGTTTTTTCAAGACAGGGTTTCTCTGTGTAGTTTTGGTGCCTGTCCTGGATCTCACTCTGCAGACGAGGCTGGCCTTGAACTCATGGAGGTCCACCTGCCTCTGCTTCCCGAATGCTGGGATTAAAGGCGTGTGCCACCAACACCCGACTGGATTGTTTTTAAATAAGGACTCTATTTTTTCTTTTCGCCCAGGAATTTAATAATCATTTTCTTTTAAGTTCACTATTTCTACAAAGTCATAAAGCCCTTCCCCGCTTTGTGATTAAGTTCCTAATTGCAGTAGTTTTTAAAGCTAACTACTTTTTTTGTTCTTTTGTCATGTTTTAATTTTTATCATTTCTTTCATGGCAAACATCAAACCCTGTCTTTTATTTCTACTCTAAGGTTCTAGTTTGCCAAGAAACAAATGCTACCCAGACTACTACAGTGACGAAGGAGATCAGAAACCAAAGTGTTTTTGAATCTCAATGTCAAGTAGAGACAGAGAGAAAACAGGGTCAAGTGAGAAGTGTGTGTGTGGGGGGGGGTGAGGGGCTAAAGAAGTATGATCATGACTGTCTTGTACCTCAACTGTATTTATATGTTTATGAAATTCCCTACTCTTAGGAATTTAAACGCACCAAATGTACACAGGCTTGGTTTTGCAACTAGCCATGCAAATCAGTTCCTTGAGCACTCCAGTCAGACACATCCAATCAGATGCAATGACCTCAGATTCAGACAGGGGCCAGTGACCCCATGATGCAGAAAGTAGAGATGCCAGCAGCTGCAGCAGCAGGCTTCCTGCACTCAGAGACATTGCAGACATTTTATGCTATGTGGCAGGCAGCTATTTCATGGCATCCATTGTCTTTCAATAATTTAACAAAGAAATGTAATGACAACTTCATGAAGGAAGAGAGGATTCTTATCTCACCTATGTCTAAGACACCAAATCCAAATAATAGTTGCTCACTAAATACTTATCTGTTGCAGTAGAGAAACAATTTTCCTTCTGGATTTATGATAAAATGCATGATGCTTGAAGGCTATACTTAGTGTTACTCAAGCATTTTTTTCTTACTAATATTAGTGACTTTTGTTATAATGGGCTGATCAGCTATTAAGTCATAACATTTCCACATAATGCTCAGTGGCATGTTGTCATTCCATCTTGTTTTATCAGTCCATGTAGTTTCACATAATTGTTTCAAATTATTCACTCCAAAGTGACTTAATGGGACTTAAGATGAAAATATTGCACATCAATGTAATCAATAAAATAATCAAGCCACCAGATCTGATTAATGTAGACATATTTATGACCTTTTTGGCCTGCTGTCAGAAAGTCTACGAAGTTATTCAATATCGTGTATCATGCCTTGTTTCCAGCACTATGGTTACCAGGGTGAATGACATTAGACATGGCCCCTGCTCTTTAGGAACTTATTGCCTGGAAAGAGTCAGATAATAATCAGGCAGGAAGTGAAGACAAACAAACAAAGGGAAAAAAACTGCTAAGAAGCAGTATTGTCATAAGTATGACTGAGGGGAGATGGTTCAATAACAGTGGTCCACCTTAGAGAAGAGTCTCCATAAAGAACTAAGATGGACTTCTTTAGAATCAAATGATGGTGACTTGCTCAACCATCATCAGAGAAGCTTCTACCCACAGCAGATGTGAAAAAATACCGAGACCCAAAGCTGGATAATATGCATGGAGTGAGAGACCCTGGAACATTGGGCAGCCCTAAATGAAATGTCTCCGTCAACTCTAATCCTCGGGGCTAAGGGAACGTCCACAGAGGAGGAAGTGGAAAGAGTTTAAGAGCCAGAGAGGATGGAGACACCAATAAAACAAGACCCTCTAAATCAACATGAGCAAAGCTCATATGAACTCACGGAGATTGGGATAGCATGCACAGGCCATGGACTGGTCTGCGCTACACGGACGGGCTTCTAGAGACGAAAGGAGGAGTGGGCAAATGACTGCATCCCTATACCAGAAGCTATCTCCAATTGATAACCATTTGCAAAGAAAATTTTAGTTTTCCCTGAGGGAGTCTCACTGGGGAAACAAACTATTCTAAAGTACAGTCTGCACACCCAGCAGTAGATAACCAACAGAAAATGAACTCAACAGCATCGCTGAAGGTTCCTTGTCTCAAAATTTCACATCAGAAGTTTTTTGTCATTAATTTTATCTTAATTTTTACTTTTATTTATATGTTTTTCTCCTTTACCTTACAGGTCCTGTGTGTGTGTGTGTGTGTGTGTGTGTGTGTGTGTGTGTGTGTGTGTGTGTGTGTGTGTGTGTGTGTGTGTGTATGCTTCCAGTTCAGGGTTTTTACTGGATTCCTGAGTACGTGAACGAGTAGGTCTCTTGGCCTTTTTAAGGCTCCTAGCCTTCTGTTTCCTTGGTCCTCTTTTTATGTGTCAGTTTTTGTTCTGTTTTACTATTATCCCTTAAAAGCCTGTTTTTTTTAATGAGTAACAGAAAGGGGGACAGATCTGGATTTGGGGGTTTGGGGAGGGGTAGAAGGAGGGGAACCCTTCATCAGAGTTATGCAAGAGAAAAAGCTATTGTCAATAGAAGGGGTGGGGGAGTCAAATGATAGAGCGGCTGCCATGAACAGAGAACCCTGCTGAAGAACCAGCCGTGCTTTCTATGATGAAGAGAATCAGAACTACTCAGCATGGATCACAGGTCATGCTTGAGAAAAAAAACGGGTGGGGGGGGGGCAAATAAGACAAGATGCACAAGCTAGACTGCTGTAGACCTCCCTCAGTAATGTGGTTTCACTCCAATTGTCACTGGAAGTGAACAGGTGAGATTTCCATTTGGGAAGGATCCTTTCTCGGTGGGAAATACTGTTGAGGAGAGCAAAAGTTGCTGCACCAATAGGAAGTGGATGCAAGGGTCTGTTTCCTCTCTTTATTACTGCTGCCTCAAACATTTCCTTCGTCCAGTTGGCAGCACACTAATGATTTCTAAGTTTATTCATTAAGGATTTATAATGCCTTGACAACATTATATTCTGATGACAGAAAATAGAAACCATTGATAATATTAAGGAGATCCTTTTCCAGAGCTATTTTCTCTATATGAAGCAGCAGTTTTGAACAGGTTACAACAACCTCAGGTCATCTCCATATCACTTAACAGGTTCAAAGGGTTTTCTGCCTTTGTGAAAAATCATTCTTTTTAAGATTTGTGAAGCTAGCAATATGCTTTTTCCATGAGGTTACATATATGTGTGTGTGTGTATGTGTGTGTGAATTTGATTTAAAAGTTAATTAAAGTGACCTATATACACTAGTCACATCCCCTCAAAGCCCTCCTTATAGTTGACTTTTCTGTGTGTTTTACAAAGGAAAAATACAGATACACTTATAAAAACCAAAAGAAAACACAAAATCTTGTACCTTTAAAAATTATAAGGATCTGGGTGGCTGTGGTGCACGCCTTTAACCCTAGCACCCAAACTGCACATAGAAACCCTGTCTCAAAAAAAAAAAAATTACAAGGAACATCCCCACCAAAATTTCCATTAGTTGCTGGGCAGTGGTGGTGCATGACTTTAATCCCAGTACTCGGGAGGCAGAGGCAGGTGGATCTCTGTGAGTTCAAGGCCAGCCTGATCTCCAAAGCAAGTTCCAGGAAAGGCACAAAGCTACACAGAGAAACCCTGTCTCGAACAACAACAACAACAAAAAATTCCATTAGTTAAATCTGTAAACTCAATGACAGTTACTTCTTGGGGGGTTAGGCTATTTGAGTTTTGGGGTTCTGAATTTTCCTCATGCTCAAATTTCTGACAACCAAGAAGTGATAGAATCTGACAGAGTTTTATACAATGTGCATCATTGTTATATGATGGTCCAGTAGATAAGAAGAAGAAGGAAAGGGCAATAAAGATGAAAGAAGGTGTAAAGAACTCTTGTATGATGGATATAAAATTCAAAGCCACAACGCAATAGAATGAATAAAAGTTCAACTGCATGGAGCACAAAAACAAACTCCAACTTACCATTCCGGCCATTTTGCTTTAAAGTGTTTGCTGAAAGCTGGATAGTACTTCCATGGCCCATGTTTTCTGGAAATTTGAGATCTTCTAGGTTTCCTTCTGTGCTCAGCCTTGCAACTTCTAATTCTGTTCATAACACAGAGGTGTCAGTGTTCATGAGGAATCTGGCAAAGCTACAAGAATTTCCTTAACTACTAAACTGTTTCTATATTCAGAATTACAGAGTTCTTGGTCTATTTTTCATGTTAAAATCATTCAATTTATAGGAAAGTATATGGTTAGTCCTTTTATTTTATTTACAAAATGAAATAAGCAAAGATGTTCAAAAATCATGTAAAGAATACAAATGTACAATAATCAAGCCTAATACTTAAAAGTTTAATCCATCTTTACAGTTTGTCTTTGCTTTTAAGTTAATTTTAATAATATTATCTATATTCCATGAATTATGTAAAACTCCTTTTGTACTCCAGAGATGTACTGTCACATCAGTATTGATCTATCTACAAATGCAATAAAATTTGAAACAGCTTTATCAAATCTTCTGAAATAAAATTGTCAGCTACATCCTAAAACACAATAAAAACAGATTTACACTTATAGGAAGGGATGATACAATTTCCAAACATTAGCATCATCACTCAAATGTCTTGTTTCTTATAGGACGTAACTCAAGACAGGTAATCCTCACATTAACAGGTCAAAATAGTAAACAGTATAAAACCTACATAAATACACGCCTATATAAAATTCACCTAATAAACCTCAGTGATGTGACCTCAAGGTAACACACCTAATATTGGAATGCCTTGTGGAGGTTAACAAGCATGAATTCTGATCTTGTTAAACTGAAAGCTATTTGGGAAATAGAATAACATATAGACACCAAACCAAAGCACTGCTTATGACAGGGACCCCAGATAACTTTTTTCTTCCTCTTTCCCGCTACGCAAGTGACTCTAGACCTTCTGTCTTAACAAAGGTCACTTACGAATATTGTCTGTATTTTCCCTGACAATGTCAGTCTTCAAAAGGTTATCGGCTAACACGAAAGCGCTCTCCTCCACAGTGTCAAGCAACATGGTGGCTGCCCGTAGCTGATCGCTTGTAGTCAGGTCTCTCCACGCATTCAAAGCTTGCGGCTGAAGGAGGTTGTTAACTGTCTCCACCATGGCCTATGAGGGGATGAACAGAATGGCAGAAGTCTCTAGTGAACCCGTATAGCTGTCAGAAATCCAGGTGTACATGTTGCCCAGCAAGCAAGGAGCAGCAGTGTGCATAAGATCACTATTGTCCCAGACTCCCCTGTGACATGCTACAGCAGAAGCATTCATTATTTTTCTATAAACCCCTCACTGAGACTTTGCAAGCCCGTAGTTGTCTTCTTTTGAAGGGCAGCAAATAGAGCCATGCTTCCTTCTCAGAATAACAGGAAAGGCTTCAGGAAGACTATTATCACATAATTAAAGTGATTTGGCTAGAACTAGGGGCACATAATTTGAACCAACAAGTTTGCATCCTCTACAGAAAATGGTTTTGTTCTGTCCATCTCCATAAAACCTGATGCTGACCACAGAAGACACCGAAGAGATCATTACTGACAGGAGGTGACAGGGATTTGTGGCCTATATTTTGTGGACTCAGGGAATAAACACTTCTTTTCCCTTTTTCTTCTTTTCACCTCTTCCTCTAGCGCCAGACAGCTACGAAAATGTCAGACTGGGGAAAGTATCAAAGCTTTCATACTGTCAGGTCCTCTGAGTATGTTGTGTAGTGTGAAACCTTAACACTGTTTACCATTCATGAAGGGAGTAAACAGTTGGACATCACTACCTATGGCCCTGAGGTGTTCCTGTTCCCTTTATAAAGTCAGCAGTATGTACATCCACACATAGAGACAAGGCACCACATTTCTCATTGCTGCATCCAGAAGAATAATCTCTGTAGCTACCATTTATATATTCCCTGTGGTTTCTTTTATGTGGTAGGTTACAAAGAGAAAACAGTTCTCCCAGTAAAGTCTTGGATTTCATTCAAACAAAGAAAACAGCAAAATAGAAAAATACGGCACCTGCAGTTTGAAAGTGATCATCCCTGAACCCATTCATTATTAAGTATGCCTCCAATGCAGACAACACCATGAATAGAGAGTCAACTTAGGCATAGTCTTTAGGCACCACACAAGTGTTTTAAAACAGGATACACATTATGGACACATTGGCAAAGGGGTTGGGTGGTGTTTTCATAGTAACCAAGTAACAACTGTTAAAAATTCAGCTTCATAATGAAACACCTTGGCTGCCAATTAACACAAGCTTCAAAAACTAATTTGCCTCTTGATAAAGTTATTTTTCTTGGTATTTTCCAGGCTACCCCAACTTCTGGCCAAATCAAAATCATTAGATTTTTAAGTAAGATGGCCTCACAACTTCTGTAGTTCGCGTCATTAAACATTTCACACATTTCACAAACAGTTATTTTGTGTGCTTTGTTCTATCATTCTGGGTTTAAAGTATGAGCTGATAGTCACACAGGAGCATTTTCAGACCACAATCGCATTAGCTGCATATCAGGAAGTCACCTATGGTAGCAATGCCAACAGGAGATGCCAGAAAGCAGGCACCAGGAGATAAAACAAATGAAAAGTTTTAGGTATCTTCTGAAGCCAAAGAAAGAATATAGACCTGCTGAGTGATAGGAACATTTATTGTAAGGTTAGATGATCCCAAAATTTATCAGCAATGGTCTGAAAAATCCTGCAAGCAACTGAAATTATCCCTTGGCTTGAAAGTGGGCAGTAATTTTTATCTGTTTATGATCTTTTTTTAATTAATTAATTAATTTTTTTTAATGCCGAATGCCTTTTATTGAAGGAGGGAGGAGGTCTTAAATACAGGCTTACAGCACAATGGGAGAACCTGGAGGGCAGAAGTTCGCTACTGATGTCTTACAATCTTGCATCTAAGCTGCTAATGCCCAATATGCATGATACACAGACAAGGAACTTCCCTTAAGCATTCAGGAGGGTGGAACCCGGCAGGGAATTAGCATAGGTAGTATATCAAGGTCAGCAAGCAAGGCAACAGTTACCCAAAATGGGTGCCAGGGCCCTACTGGTCCCCCTTTTACTAAAAAATGAGCTTCGGACTTAGGTTGCATGGGGCGTCAGCAGGTCACCTTACCTGTGATGGAGATGCATAACTGAAGAAGGGATTAAGAAAATGTAGTACATATACACAATGGAGTACTACTCAGCAGAGAAAAACAATGACAGCATGAAATTTGCAGGCAAATGGATGGAACTAGAAAAAATTATCCTGAGTGAGGTAACCCAAACCCAGAAGGACAAACATGGCATGTACTCACTCATAAGTGGAATCTAGATATAAAGCAACAGACAATCAGACTGCAACCCACAGAACCATGGAGGCGAGATATATATATCTTACATGGGAAACCCTAGGATGACTGTGGCTTATAATAAGTTTTGATTTTACTCAATTACTGAGCAAGCCTCAATGTTTATGATCTTAATAATCATGAAACAATCTGAATTTGATTATTTTCATCTTATCTCAATGGATGTCTGTTATATATACTACAATATTTCTGTTCTCCCCTTTGTCGTTGTTAGTTATTTAATTAAGAATTGCTAAATGGTAAAAATGGAAAAATAAATGGAATGGTCATCTCTAACAATGCACTCCAACAATCTTCTAAATATGTTTCAAAATTGAGTGAGAAGCAAAGAGAGTGATAGATGAGTATAGAGAAAGAATCAGTAATCAAAATCTCTCAACAATAAAAGACCTAGGAACAGATGGCTTCACGAGTGAATTCAACCAGACATTTAAAGAATTAATATCAATTCTTCTCAAGCTGTTCCAAAAAGTTCAAGAGGAAGGAATGCTTCCAAATACATTTTATGAGTGAGCATTACTATTCTGATACAAAAGCCAGACACAAGCACCCCAGACAATAAAACTACCAGTCATATCCCTGATGAATGTGGATGCATAATTCTTCAACAAAAGGCCAGCAAGCCAAACTCAATAGCACATTAAAAGAACCATATATTATGACCAAATGTAATTTATTTCTGAGATGAAAAGATAGTTCAACACATAAAATAAATTGATGTGATGTACTCCCTTAGCAGAATAGAAGATAATGTCACCTGATTATCTCAATAGATGAAGGGAAAAGCATTTAACACAATTCAGCACTTTTCATGATTAAAAGCCACCGACAAACCAAAAATAGAAAAAAATTACCTCAACATAATAAAGACCACATATGAAAAGCCCTCCACTAACATTACACATAACACTATAAATTTGGAATATTGTTTTTTAAGATCAAACCTGAAGATAGCCACCATAGACTATTCTACTCAACATTAATTATTTAAGACTGTAGCCAGAGCAATTACAAAAGAACAGGAAAATAAATACTATCTAAATTGGAAAAAAAATAAACAATAACAACATACAATCTGTCAGAAACAATCTCAAGAGTCTGTGTACAGAACTGCTTTATGTAAAAACTAGGCCTTTTGATTAATACCAATTATTGCTCAATGATCTTTCTTTTACAACCAAAGAGCTGTAAGATGAAATATTTTCATTAAAAAAATCTGAATACATTTCAGCAATCTTATCTTCTCAAACATGGTGTTGTCTTTAGAGAAACATTCAATAAATTTTAAGCAACATAAATAACTTTCAAATTTTCTAAAGAAGAACAAAGTAAAAATATTCTTAATGAGTTACTAAAAAAAAAACTTTAAGAATTACTTAGTTTGCCTTAAAAACATCTGTTTATGTGCCTGTCAAAAGTTAGGTATGGATGGAGGAAGGGCTCATCTGGCCCTAGCCTCACTGATGAAGGTTTGGGAAGAGGATTATTCAAGGAGAGGTAAGTCATTGCTTTCATTTGTCTACCCAAAGGCTCTAATAGACTGTTCCAATCCAATGGCCACACAGATGGCCTTGGTTATTAAACTTCTGTGTTTCATACAACAAACCCAAAAGTCATGAATTTTCAAAAGGGAACGTTAGGGATGAGGTAAGGTAGATAGAGATGAGAAGAAAATAGTAAGGTTTAGAGAAGAAGGTAAGTAAGATACATCAAGATGTGTGTGTGTGTGTGTGTGTGTGTGTGTGAAATTGTCAAAATTAAAAAAAAAATAAATAAACCTATGATTGTAAGGAAGTATTAGCATAAAGACTGATAGAGTCTCCTTGCAGCTTACATCAGAGTAGGAAGCTTGGAACCATATGGCTAACACTGGACAAAGGCAGTAACTTCTTGAACCTTACATGCAAATTAGAGATAATTATAGCTTAATCTTACATTTACTTTCATTTGATACCATCCCGCAATGAGGGGGAAATGAGTCTCCACTGAGTAAGTGCAATCAAGACTGACCCTTCATTTGCTGTAACAGCCACAGCACAATGCCATCTGGAAGGAATAAGTCTTATGCAACGCAGCAATCATTTAACCTCTTACATGACTTAACTCCTAGGCAGCATATGACTTGATGCCTTTAGGAACAAGAGAGTAGTAGCCCATGTGAACTTGGAGGAATAAGAGCCCAGAGGCACGGGCATGCTGACTCCTTTCCTGCTGGTGGAACAGCACAATGAGATCCATTGGTTTTCTACTTAATACGGGTTAAATTCCCTAAGAGTTGATGAACTACTTGTTGCCACCTATCCAGAGTCAATTAAATAGCCACAATTCTGTCCTGATAGAAGAATATAGATATTTGATTTTACTAAAATATTTATAATTTTATCATAAATAATAATGTCTTTTTTTTTTTTTCGAGACAGGGTTTCTCTGTGTAGCTTTGCGCCTTTCCTGGAACTCGCTTGGTAGCCCAGGCTGGCCTCGAACTCACAGAGATCCACCTGCCTCTGCCTCCCGAGTGCTGGGATTAAAGGCGTGCACCACCACCACTTATCACTGGATGATATTTGAATTCTACTTCTAGGTTTCCATAGGATTAAGCTTATATGTACTTTAAACACAAACTGAATGATAAATATACACTCACTTTCTTTAAATGGAGGGCAGATTATTGGACTTCAAAGAGCAAAATTAGTACTCAATGTTTTTTCTTTTTTTTTTCTGATATAAAAATGTATATTCTAAATTAGAAGAAAAT